AATTTGCACAAGCTCACCCATGCAAACATATGCTGAAGATCATGAAAGAACTTAATGCTAAAACTAATAATATTGAAAATGAACAGGGATTTTATGATATTTGTTCTGCTATAGCAACCAAAAAACAAGGACGCCGAATCAAAGTACAACCAACTTCGATTGCACGTCGTGTAGAGAGGGGGCTACATGCAGGCTCTAAAGCGATTTAAGCAGGCAGACCATCTACTGCCGAAAAATTACGTAAAAAAGCAACAAGGAGAAAAAGGTCTTTCATTTCAGATATTTTGGCAAATCAACCGAATGCCAAAAGTCATTGAAATAGGTAATCATTACCTACCTTTTTATAAAATGTAAAAGGCCATTCTTTTATTTAATAAAAAAAAAAGTTAACCTCCGCAAGTTGTTTTATTATTTATTATTATTAAAAAGTCATGTAATAACATGGTTGGCAAAATGAGCGTATTTATTTAATTTATGTGCGCTGATCTAATAGGAAACGCGACGTCGGATATAGCTTAACAAGTCCTATAGAAGTAGCGCGCCACGTAGCGGTAGACACTTGGTAGACAATGTGCGCTAACCTAATAGGAAACGATATGCCAGATATTGTTTTACAATTCCTAAAAGATTAGCGCTCCATGTAGCGGTAACCAAATAGGAAACGGAAAAATGCTTCCTGGATGGTGCACTGCTATCTTTAACGGGTATAGTAGTGTAGGCCATATCTCAGAAACTACAAGAGCACAAAAATTGTTAACTTGGCATTTAATTAGCACTAAATTATTCCGATGTCGAAAACTCTATCAATCTCTTCTTTCATGAAAACTCACTATGTGTTCTGCATGAAGCTAGCAGTGCACAGCGTTGTTTTTAAAAAAATATGCGAAAAAAAGCAGAAAATAGAAATTTTGTTTATAGAAATGGTAGCATTTAATTAGCATTCAATTTTCTTCATCATTTATATCACCCTACCACTTTCCTGGATGGTGCACTGCTATCTTTAACGGGTATAGTAGCGCAGGCCATATCTCGGAAATTACAAGAGCACAAAATTTGTGAACTTGGCATTTGATTAGCACTTAATTAGCACTAAATTATTCCTATGTCGAAAACTCTTACAATCCCTTCTTTCATGAAAACTCAATATGTGTACTGCATAAAGCTAGCAGTGCACAGCGTTGCTTTTAGAAAATATTCGAAAAAAAGCTGAAAATAGAGATTTTGTTCATGGAAATGGTAGCACTTAATTAGCATTTAATTTTCTTCATCGTTTGTATCACCCTACCACTTTCCTGGATTATTCCTGAATGGTGCACTGCTATCTTTAACGGGTAGCTAGCATTGCAGGCCATATCTCGGAAACTACACGAGCACAAAATTTGTGAATTTGGCATTTAATTAGCACTCAATTAGCACTAAATTATTCCTATGTCGAAAACTCTACCAATCCCTTCTTTCATGAAAACTCAATATGTGTACTGCATAAAGCTAGCAGTGCACCACGTTGTTTTTAAGAAAATATGCGAAAAAAAGCTGAAAATAGAAATTTTGTTCATGGAAATGGTAGCATTTCATTAGCATTCAATTTTCTCCATCATTTATATCACTCTACCACTTTCCTGGATTATTCCTCGATGGTGCACTGCTATCTTTAACGGGTATAGCAGTGCAGGCCATATCTCGGAAATTACAAGAGCACAAAATTTGTGAACTTGGCATTCAATTAGCACTAAATTATTCCTATGTCGAAAACTCTTACAATCCCTTCTTTCATGGAAACTCAATATGTGTACTGCATAAAGCTAGCAGTGCACAGCGTTGCTTTTAGAAAATATTCGAAAAAAAGCTGAAAATGGAGATTTTGTTCATGGAAATGGTAGCATTTAATTAGCATTTAATTTTCTTCATCATTTATATCACCCTACCACTTTCCTGGATCATTCCTGGACGGTGCACTGCTATGTTTAACGGGTAGCTAGCAGTGCAGGCCATATCTCGGAAACTACAAGAGCACAAAATTTGTGAACTTGGCATTTAATTAGCACTTAATTAGCACTAATTTTTCCAGTCATAAAAATTTTGCACTGCTGACTTTGCACTGCTAACTTTATAGACGTGAATAGCTAGGTAATCAAGTTTACTCGAAAATATTTGGTTGGTGCAATTTCAAACAAAAAAGTACAAAAAACAAAACTAAGTACTACCTTTTTTCTTTCAAAACATTACATAAATAAAAATAAATATTTGTTTATTTTAAGGGTTGATAGGGTGAGAGGTGTGAATAAGTTCCTTCTGCACTGCATGCAAAACCAGGCTTTCTCACTAGAAGGCAGCTTTGTTACTGAACAGCACACCGAAGACATGAATCACACCGTCGTAAGCAATCTTCATGTATCACTTTGTTACATATATCACAAATCCATTTTAGAATACTATTTGTTTTTTTTTTCAATTCGTTTTTGTAATAAAACATAAGAATCCTGACAAACATATGCTTCTATTTCTGCTAAAGATATTTCTTCTTCAAGAAGAAGTGGATCAATTTGTTGATGATGAGGAATGTTTTCTTTCCAAATCTTCTGTATTTAAAATTGCATTAAGCATTATCTGGTGCCTCAGTTTAGGAACTTCATTTTTGAATAAAACATTTTTATTTTTTTTAGACCTTTTTAGTCCAAATGCAGTTAATTGATGTCCCTTGGGTCTTCCTTTATGGGCAAGTTTTAAAGGAAATTTAATACTTTTGATTTTTTCTTCTAATTGATTTTGTGCAGTAGTATTTGGTTCTTGGGCTAGTTCCATTAAAATGGCATTGCAAATATTAACAAAGAATAATATTCCAGATAAGTCTGTTTCTGTAGAAATCACAAACCAGTCAGAGCAAATTTTATTGGTTAAAAATAGTCAAAAACAGTCAGAAAATTAGTTTCATCCAATGAAATTCACTCTGACTGGTTTGTGATTTCTGCAGAAACAGACTTATCTCGAATATTATTCTTTGTAGATACTTGCGACGATAATATTCCTTAATAAGACAGAATTAGAAATAAACATCTATTTTCGGATCTTCAATTACCACTAAAGATCCGTATTTTAGGACCCCTAAAACCTACTTCTTAAAATAGGTGCATTTTAGGTTTTTTTTGTTTTACAAAGTGTGATTTCAGTAGTAATTTCTTTCCAGAATGCTATCTATATTTATTTATCTATTTAGCTATTATTATGTTAAAAATTTAATTATCAATAGTAATATAACGAGTGCAATGGAAATTATTGATAATTTTTGGAAAATTTGCCCGAATGCATTTTTAGTTGAAAAAGAGCACGAGTGCACGTAGTGCACGAGTGCCTTTTTCAGTTAAAAACGCGTGAGTGCAAAGGACATGGCACTAAATATTAGAATCCTGGTGATCGGCCGATTTTTTTAAAACTGCAGTATGTTATTCTATACCTGAAAACAAGAATTTCTGCTTATGGTCACTTTTTTGTACGAGTTTGGGATGACCCAGAAAATTGAGTTCAAAGTTTGTATATGAAATATTTTCTTTAAGCATAAACTTATGTTTAGCCGTTGTTAAACTGATCTGTTATGTGATTTTGCATTTTATACATTAAAGACAAAGCTATTTATGTAGTTAAGGACAAAAATTATTATACAGGTTGTCTCAAAAATTATATTTTAAAGCAAACTACTCTCTAAAGAAAGCCAATAACCAAAACAACTGCTACAAAACTATAATAACCTTAAATATCAATAATAACTACAAACATTGTAACAATGATCACCAGAGACTATTTGAAGTAGCTGCTGTTCCCTGGAAACGATTTGGATTTAATACTGTAGAAATAGATCAACAAATACAAAAATATGCCATATAGGCCCAGTTTCACAATTCGTGGTAACCTGCACTGGTTATCGGACTCATATTTGCGGGTTGACTACATGGAATATTCTGAAGCTTGACCAAAGGTTTTGGCTAAACCACACATCATGAAACAGATATATTGTAGGTTACCAGTGTCTTGTGTTTACCGTTAAGTTACAAATGTTTGTGAAACTGGCCCTAACTGTGTTGTTAATACAACAGTCCAATACATATTCAAAATCACTAAACCGATACATCAAACATTTAATATAAAAACTTTGAACTCAATTTTTTCAACCGTTATTTTGGTTATTGGCTTTCTTTAGAGTGTAGTTTGGTTTAAAATAAAATTGTTGAGACACCCTGTATAATAATTTTTGTTCTTAACTATACAAATATCTTTGTCTTTAATGTATAAGTTGCAAAAATACATAACAGATAGATAGTTTATGCTTCAAACAAAATCTTCCATATAAAAACTTTGGACTTAATTTTCTGGGACATCCCATACTCGTACAAAGAAGTGACCATAAGCAAAAATGCTTGTTTTCAGGTATAGAATAACATACTGCAGTTTTAAAAAAATCGACCGATCACCAGGATTCTAATATTTAGTGCCATGTCCTTTGTCGGAAATTATAAATATATTTCCATTGCACGAGTTGTATTTAATGAGAGAATTTCATAAATCAAAAATTTAAATTTTTTGTCAAAAAATGTCAAAACACCAGTTTTCGCACCAGTTACTATGCAATTATCTGATAATTTGCACTAGTGCAAATTATCGCGTAATTGAAATCTGATAGGTTCAAATCAACAATCAAAACATGTCAGTTTATTGTTGAAAAACCAGTTTTGACAGATGTATGAAATTCTCTACATAATATTACATATTATGGCCGAGTTCGTTTTAGTCATCGGACGCCTCGAATGTCTCTAAATGCGTTCGTTTATTGTTTCTGACGTGTTGGAGGTAAATAAATCTGCGTTCGTTTTTAAACATCTGGATGTCTCAGAGGACCCTCGTTTCCGTCGGAGCTTATTGACCGAGCGTTCAGATGACAGTACTGATGACAGCCGAAAAACAGCAATAACACACAACCATCAATAATTATTTCATTTTCTCTATATTCAATGGAAAATACAGGAAGCACCCAGCTTGTGGAGCTTGTCCACACTCCGAGTGGTTCTAAATTTAGAGTATGGCTGACAGAGTACGAGATAAATAGGGCAAAAACAGGTAAGTTGGAATAAGTCTTCAAAACAAAATATATTAAAACCATAATCATTACATATTTGTTATTTTAGTAATGCTTTGACAATTTGATAACACTAAACCTACTTTTAGATCAGGCATTTCTCGATGAGCTTACACAAAAATACTATGGACTGTGCTATGGATTCCACAAGAAAAATCTTGTCACGTCCATCGATTCGTTTGAAGTTGGAGAATCAAATGCGCATCCAGAAACAGCAAAGCTTTGGACATTTGATACTACAAATTTTCTAATATCATTGGTGAATATGGTGAAGAAATACGATGACGAATTCCAAAACAAAGTTAAAAGAAATGTATGGCAGAAAATAGTAACCATTGTTTCTGATCAGACTAAATTAAATGTGAGTGCACAGCAGTGTGACACAAAGTGGAAAGGGCTGAAAGATATGTACAAAAATATCAAACAGCATAATGAAAAGTCTGGAAATGATGCAAAAAAATGGATATTTTTCAATAAGATGGATGAGTTCATGTACAAGAAACCTGAGATAGTTCCCCCTGTAACGTGTAGCAGTTCAAGAGGGCTCAAAATTAACAACAGTGCAACAGCCACTACTTCAACAGGTAGGTACAGTTTTAACATGAATTTTATTTTTCAGAGAACTAGATTAATTATTTTGCTTTCGAGATGTAGATTGTGAAGAAAATACTACTGACTGTAATGACATAGAGAATGACACCCCCAAAAGAACTGGCAACTTGGGCAGAAAAAGAGCAAGATATGAAAATACTCTCGATAAGCGCCCTAAGGACAAAATGCAACGCCAAGATCGATTTCTTGATTTGTTCGAAGATTTGGTGAATACCATGAAAAATAAGTGATTTACTGTACAGGGTGGGCCAATTTGGACACTTCCTTTATTTTTAGAGATAGAAAAAAATGAACCCCCCACTCTGAGGCTCAAATTTCATGAAATTTTGATTGGTGCAAACCGCATTTTGATATCTTCAACCGTTTAGCCGCTAGAGGGCGATTCTCGATTTTGAGCAATATTGTGAACCCTTCATAACTTTTTTGTTTATGAAAATAATTGATTTCCGTGAAAACTTTCTGGAAGCACTTTTTAAAACAGAATTCAGGGACGTTCTCGGTTTTTTTCTATTTGGCGCCAATTTTGAGATATTGACCAAAGTCTGATTTTTTTCAATGGGACACCCTTTATAATAATAGCTCATTGCAAAGCTATGATTTTTCTGATTTTAATGATATAAAGTTCGATAGGGGTATCTCTAAGCGTTTTCGAGAAAAAAACTAATTTCGGTTTTTCTCATAAGAAGCAATGTGTTAGAAAAGGACTTTATATCTGTAAGGAAAATGAAAAAGGTCTCTTTCTAATGCATTGTTTCTTATGACAAAAACCAAAATAATTTTTTTTCTCGAAAACGGTTAGAGATAAACCTATCGAACTTTATATCATTAAAATCAGAAAAATCATAGCTCTTCAATGAGCTATTAATATAAAGGGTGTCCCATTGAAAAAAATCAGACTTTAGTCAATATCTCAAAATCGGCGCCAAATAGAAAAAGACTGAGAACGTCCCTGAATTCTGTTTTAAAAAGTGCTTCCAGAAAGTTTTTATGGAAATCAATTATTTTCATAAACAAAAAAGTTATGAAGGGTTCACAATATTGCTCAAAATCGAGAATCGCCCTCTAGCGGCTAAACGATTGAAGATATCAAAAAGCGGTTTGCACCAATCAAAATTTTATGAAATTTGAGCCTCAGAGTGGGGGGTTCATTTTTTTCTATCTCTAAAAATAAAGGGTGTTTCCATAAGGAAGTGTCCAAATTGGCCCACCCTGTACAAGAGTACAAGGGCTGTGAGTGATCCAGTGATCTCCTTCATTTATACCAAATTTTCTATGCTAGAAGTTGAATTATTATTTTCTTCCTCAGTGTTGGTTCTTCTTAGTTGAAAAATAGAAAGTTGTAGAGTTGTAAGAGTTCTGTTACCATAAATAAATTTGTTAAGCAATTGAAAAATGTTCTTATTACTTTTTCGAGACTAGGGCAAACACAAAAGATATTCTCGCTTGATGTTAATGGAATTTACTGAAAAAAAAAACAAAATTCAATGTTTAAACTTTATAACAATAAATTATTCATTAAATTATTTCTCTTCTGAACTGCTTCTCTTCTTATTGCAGGGGCATTTTCAACATTCATATGTGGTGCCTCTTGTCTAACCCTTTCTTCTTCTATTTCTTGAGCTAAATGTATTATCTCTTCTGCATTATCATTATTCAAAATACATACATTATGTAATATGCATGCTGCGATAATAAATAAACAAATTAGGTCCAATCTAACAGTTTCCAAGTATTTCAGGCGTCGAAATCGGCCTTTCAAAAGAGCAAAGGCTTGCTCAATAATAACTCTTATCTCGGATAATTTCTTGTTGAAATTTTTTTGTAGATCAGTTAAATTACCCAAGTCCTTGAACCCAACCATGAGTGTCTTTGTAAGTGTATAGGCTAAGTCTCCTATGATATGTGTATCATTAGGAAATTGGACAATCTCTGTCCTTATTCGCTCAGATAAATCTGACATTTGGAATAGTCTCACATCATGGCAGGATCCTGGTACTCCTGTAAATACGTCTGTGAACATTTTCCTATTATCACAGACTGCCTGGAGTAAGACAGAATGAATTTTTTTTCTATTTATGTATGAAACAGGATTTTCCTTCGGTGCCAATATTTGTATGTGTGACCCGTCGATGCAGCCTATTACTCCTAAAAATAAAATAAAAAATATTTTTTAGTTTAATATTAATAATTGTTCCAGCGTACATCTGAATTCTGTTTGCCACCATACTTCTTGACAATTCTTTTGAACAAAGTTTACCTAGCAACGTACCTGGAAATCCATTAATATTTTGGAAACTGTTGGATATTTCAATCGCTCTTTCTCTGGAGGGCCAAGAAATTATTTTAAAGTGTGTGTTCACCAACAAAATCAATTTACCCATCCTCATTAACACTGCCCATGCTGTTGATTTTGTTACACCGAATCTTTGAGCTACTGAGCTACAAGTAAAAAAGCACAACTTGAAATTTTTACAAATAGGTAATTATAGATACCTACATTAACTAATACTATTGATATGATAAGACTTACCGAAAACTTTCTATATTTGCTAAGTACCATATTGTTAGCAAAAGCTGCTTTTCTAATGGCAGCTTAGGGTGTCCCCTAACAACAGGAGCCTCTGGTACAATGGTTCCAATTTTCTGGAGTAAGTTTTCCATCGTTGATGGATTCATCCGGAAATGTCTTCTGAATTGTTGGTCGTTGAAGAAATGAACAACATGTTCCACAAAATTTACAACTTTCGGTTCCTCCATGCGTTCTTCTTTATCATCAAAGAATATTTCATTAGCAAAATTAATAACCACTGGAAAAATTCGACTAATTTCCATATTGTTGCCGTTTGCGAGTACCCAACTATCAACTATTGACAAAGTATGTCATTAATGACCATAGTTAATGACTCTGACGGACAACTCTAACAAATCTATACCGTTCGGAAATTGGCAAGCATCTAAATGACTCCAGGGTCAGGTGATCAAAAAATCTGTCTGGTCTCATCCGCTCCGCGATGGCTAAAACGAACTCACCCGTACACCGAGATGTACACTAAAAAAACCTAAAAAGCTTTAAAAAACCTCAAAAAACCTAAAAAACCTCAAAAACCCTAAAAAACCTCAAAACCTAAAATTATTTTTCATAAATCGTAGGTTTTTTCCCAACCCTGTTTGTAGTCGTTTACCAGGATAAGAATCTCTGAATATTTCAGTTTTCTCTATCTATGATAGAAAAAGAGTTATGTATGATTATTTCGAGGAGTGTTTCGCTTATGCAGTTGTACAAATATCAGACATTCATGTAGGTATATGCAGTCCATACAGTCTTCTGCAGTTCATACATTCTCATGCAGTCAATGAAATATGTGGACTCATGCAGTCATAATACATACAGTGCTTGCAATCGTTATAAATTCCGTACAGTCACATGCAGTAGCGTACATTCCATGTACACTGGCGTAAGCAGTCGCTGCGAGCGGTGTGGAGTCAATGCAGTCAACTATCATCTTTGATGCAATCAATGCAGTCAAATACAGTGGGTGTACAAAATTTAGTGGGTCGAATACTCCCGGGATTATTCAAAGTTTTTAAAAATTCATGTCGAAAGGGGGGTCTTCCTTCCAAAATGGTCAAATTTCATTTTTTTTAATGGAAATTTCAACCCTGGACGATCAATTGAGACTCCAGAAACTCCCTACAGTGATTTATTGTTGGATTTGAACTCAAAATATATGCAAAAAGGTCATCAGGAAAATTGAGAAATGCACAAATTCACTCCCCATTCTCAACACAATTTTTTCTCAGGAACTATAAGTCCAAATGAGCTGAAATTATGAGGGTTTGTAGACCTCTACCTTGACCTCTACTGGAATAATATTCACTGATTATTTCAGCTTTGTATCTACAGCGTGCGCCATAAAGTTGGGTACATATGGGGAAATTCTTAATTATTCCTTTTTCCAAAAAACTTTTTTTGGGAATCGTTAGGGCATATTCGATAACCAAAAAATCATATCCAAAGGGAGATCTTCCTTCCAAAATGATTGAATTTCATTTTTTGTTCTTATTTGTATTTATTTCAATAATTCATGAACAGTTTCACATAATATACAATATAAATTCAATAATTACGTTAACAATAATATACCCCTAGATGCATAAAACATCTGTATGGGCAAGATTCAGGTTGTCAATGAAGGAATCGAAAAAAAGTGTTCTGATTTTTTTTTTGCAGTTGCCCCCCCCTGGAAAATCATACTTCAAAATTATTAGCTAGAATTTAACATAATTTGAGCTGGCTCCATAAAAAAATATTGTGGACGAAAATCATAATAATAATATTAACTTTAAAACAATATTGAGAATGTTTTCTGATCTCTAGTAATAAAACTTGGATGATTTGCATATACGGTCGAAGTCGGCCTATGCAGCATATGGTATAGAGTTCTTGTGATTGGTAATTCGCTTATGCCGACGTAAAGATTTATCAGTGAAAAAGACCGGACAAAAAAGTTTACTTTGGGTTATTATTAGAGATGCCACGAATAGTGATTTGGCCGAATACCAAATATTCGGCCACGCTCTCGTTTGCAGCGCCGAATATTCGGCCACGCTCTCGTTTGCAGCGCCGAATATTCGGCGGCAGATCTGTGGGTTTTGTGCGTTAACAACAGGTTGGGGTCATATTTTCGAACTCATTCGAGTACACTTCGTACACGAAATTTGGCTGACAGCAATGTAAATTAAATGGAGAGCATTCGAAATCGTATCAAATTTCGTATGCGTGAATATTCGAAAATACGACCCCTTAGATCTGTCTCATTCTCATCGCGTCGCCTCCGGTAACGACGGAATTTGGTTCACTTGAGAATATATGGTGTCACAATACGCAATTTTACGCATTATTAGCTATATTCTTTTGATCGCACGTTATTACTCATACTTATACCAAAGTCTTATAAGATACATTTTTGAGTAATATGTGCGTTTTTTTTTATTCAGCTTTCGGTATTCGGCCAGATAATACTATTCGGCCGAATACCGAATACAAAAAAAATGGCCGAATACCGAATAGTAGCCGAATATTCGTGGCATCTCTAGTTATTATATTCGTATGTTTTTGGAATATACGTTTTTGGTTGTTAATATTTTTTGCCCACCCTTGGTTTATTTTCTGCCGGGGCCCATGACCCCAGAAACTCCATTCAGTGATTGAAATCTATGAAAAAAGGACCTAAGGAGAATTGAAAAATCCCAAAATCCACCCCAAATTCCTTAACGCGATTTTTTCTCAGAAACTGCAAATGAGCTGAAATTTTGCAGTGTTTGTAAGTCTACTAGGATGAGAATCGCTGGTAATTTCAGCTTTCTATCGACTATCTATGATAGAAAAAAAGTTATGATTAATTAAAGTTTTCAAAAATTCATGTCCAAAGGGGGATTTATCCTGAGATTTGAATTTGTTATGTTTCCTAACATTATTAAAAAATAAATTTTCCCAATGAAAATTTGGCTTGGTTTTCTCGTGAAATAGTCCAGCAGAATACCATTATTTGCCTGGTTTTATTCAAGTTCCGGCCACTGCTCTCTTGGCTACCACCTGAAAAAGATGGGTAAAGCTGAATCAGACCTTTGCCGCTTCTGCAAAGAAGCATCCGAATCTGCCGAACATATACTCTACAAATGTGAAGCATTATGTCACAGAAGACTCATTAATCTGGAGCAGACACATTTGACTGCTGAGGATGTTAAACGAACCAATCCCGGAAAAAACGTGAGATTCGCGAAAAGTCTCAACCTGGGAACCTACTAGGAAAAGGGGAAGCACAATCAGGTCGCAGTACAGAGAGGTCTATCACTTAAACGCCCCTAACACCAGCTAATCTAATCTTTATTCAAGTTTGTTGCTTTCTGGGTCTAGTAATTTCGCTCATGAAATTTTTGATAAAACCACTCGCCTGATAGCTTGTGATTTCCAACAATTCTTCAATTATCCACATTAAAGTTCAATTTACTCTTGAAAAAAGAAAGTGAACCTTCTAATAGAAATTGTCTAAGAAAGGTGTATAGGGTTATTGGTAATACATTTGCCTAGCCTTCTACTGATAAAGTTTGGTAGGTAGTAGTGAATACGTAGACGAAAATAATTGGTCAAATATTTCTATTTTCCTTTATTATGTCTAGTTGTGCAATAAACAACATCTAAACAATAAAAGTAACCAGTCCATGAATGGAGTGTAACGTCAAGGTCAAAGAACTTTATGTTTAGGAAGTGATGCCAGTACTGGAATTTTGATGATTCATCTTTTTAATTCATCATAAGTGATTGAAAGTAAATAACGGAATTTTGCTTGTATATGATGGTAGATACATTAGTAATTCCAAAGATTGTTTGAGATTTAAAATATCATATTGCAAATATTATTACGAATATGAGATTTTTTCACTTTTGGAGAAAATGTTTTTCTTGAGGTTTTCATTAATTCTAGAATAATATACAGTACCTTGTTAATCTGAATACTTAATTGTCAAACCTTTTTCGGATTAACGAATATGTATCGCTCACAATAAATCGAGAGAAATCTCTAGGATAGCTATTATATGATAATTATTTTTAGAAATTTGGTATTTAATGGTATATTTTTATTTTACTTTCAGACAGCTCTAAGTATATTTTTTCAAGATGCAGCTATACCCAGTTGTCCTCACGGAGCAAATTCACATTTTGGACAGGTAAAAACTAACTTACTTATACAACACGTTTGTGCAACATTATTCATATTTATGCACCTGCTAAGGGAAAGTTCAAAAGTCAATCAACTGCAAATGAAAAATGAAACTAACCATATGAGTTGACCTCAAGATAATTTTTTCAATAGCTTAATAATTCTAATTATCATAACACAAATTGCTCCTCGAAGAAGCAAAATACATTTAAAAAAATATTTTCTTCTAGGTTATGACGCCGTGTAATACACCAGCCACCCCACCAAACTTTCCCGACACACTTTTAGCCTTCTCGAAATTGTCGGCAGGTTCTCCATCTCAGGGTTTGAATAACACAATGCAAACCAGTCCGATACCATTACAAACTACAAATCATCAACCGCAGGCGGCTCAACCTCAACGATAATAGTATTTTTAATGAGAAATTTATTATCAAGAAAAAAGAATATTTAGAAAGAAGAAAATTTTTTTTTTGGTATAAATAGTAGTACATATTAATTGATTTGATGACTTTATATTATAAAATTATAGTGAATATTTTCCACATCAATCATCCAGGGACTTAAGTGTGGAATTGTTTATATTTTATAGTGAAATTTTTAAGTATTTACCTTTTTTTTCCTCACAAGTGATTTATCAGTTAGGTTTTTTTTGTTATTATAATAAGACTCGCCACAAATAAAAGTTACTTTGTTGGTGGAAAATTAAACTCCAACCAATCACCTTTACATGGTATGGACTGTTGTTAGCTTTAATTGGCTCGTTAATGCAAAAATAATCAAGATTTTTATTTGAAAAAATCATTATTGAATGACCTCTAGCTAAAAAAAAATTGTAATATATTACTAAATTTAGTTATACAATGATTTATCTTCCTACAAAACTTTATTGTTTTTATTTCTGTAATTGTAATTAATATAACAATTCGATAATTATAAACAAGACATTGTGGTTTGATTTATATTGGTTCGTTAACATCAACTCTGAATTTACTCGAATCAAAACAAAAATACAAAAAAAAAAAAATGGTGTAATATAATTGACAACAATAATAATTATTAAACAATAATTAATTATCTATATAAGTAATAATTATTGTTAGTAATCAAAAGTATGAAATTTTAATGAAAAAGGTTACATTTTTTTCTAGTCCAGTTTTACAAAATCCGATACTACTATTCTGGAGAAGACCCCATGAAATAATTAGCGGCATTCGGATACTTTTCCGGATCAAAATCTTCGTTATTTCTCAAATTTGTCTGGACTGTCGTCTGTAATAAGGACCTGAAGGCTGCCTGGATTTCTACAGATTCACTAGCTGCTTCAGCCACTTCGGCTAGGGGCGCTGCTGAGGCAAGACCCGAGGAGGTTACTGCTTGTTGGATACTTTCTGAAAATTCATCACTATTTAGAAAAAATACAATTGGAATTTTGATAATATGCTAACATTGCTAACAGAAGAGAACATAGCCTCTTATATCAGAAATAAATCGGTAATGATTGGAAAAGGTCCATATTATGTATTAAACTTTTGAATAATTGCCAATAAAAAAATTATTACCTGAAATGACTTGAGGTAAACTACCTTGAGGTTTAGCATTATTAATTAATTTCCTTCTTTTACTTGGCATGCCGCTCAAATAAGCATCGCTGAATGGTGGCTGGGAATTTTGTTTTTTCTGTCTTGGACCGTCAGCAGTGATTATAGGAGCCCATTCCTGAAAATCGATTTATTCATTATTTCGTTTTGAAAAGTAGATTTAGCCAACACATAATAAAGAAATTAAAAATTTCCATCTATTTTTAATCATACAACTGTTATATAGATACCTCAATTGAAAAAAGCACTGACATTTTTTTTCAAAAAATAGCTTCTCTAAGTAATAAACACAAAAAATCAGATTTGCAAGACCCTTCAGACAAACTCTAGTGCTCTGTGTGCTTCTACAACTCATTGGCAAATAAATAAACAAAAAAAAAAGCCGATAAAATCTAAAATGGTAATGGAGTTTTTAGAATAAATAGACAAAAGTAAGTGGTAATTCATTAACATAACTTAAAAAAAAAAGCAACAACCTCTGACCCAAAAAGAGCTTTAATTTTGAGGTTTTCCAATATACAAAAAAGAAAATTGAATCTGGATATTAAAACATTAAAAATAACCGTTAAATAACTAAGGCTTTTCAACATACTTGTGGGGTAACAATGTGCCAAGGTTCAGATCCCCAATTGACCACAACATTTTCCTCGTTTGGCGGCGATACATCCATGTCATATTCCTCTACTTCCATAACTTCCTGGAAAATTAAACAAACTACTCTTAGAATTATGCACCAACTTCACTTTTTCTAGCCAGTCTTCTGTTATCCCAAACTTACACTACATTTTTTCAGCAAAAATATTGACTGGGGCAAATAAGAGAAAATAATCTGTTTCTTACATCACATACAGGAAAGAAAGCCGCCTCCTCTTGCATCTGTTCCGTTGAAATAGGTTGGGCCGCCACAGGAGTGACATCTTGAGCGGTAACTGGAGGCGGCGGGGGTGCGGGAATGACGTTTTGTACAATAAAACGCTCTATATCGGCCGTACCAATATCCAAATTTTGTAAAATGGTTCCCAGAGCAGAACGAGTATTATGAATGGTAAACTGAAACACATCACGATGGGCACTTGGAGTCATTGTACTGACCTTAAGAAAAAAAAATAAAAAATTATTATTAGTTAGTTGTGTCTTTGGTAAACTTACCACAATTTGTTCAAAAACATCCTCAACACCTCGTTGGCCTTCAGACGAACAATGAATAGCTAATGCAAACAATTCTCTGATCGCTCTCCATACTGTCGTTACAAAATTTTGACCATTGCTGCCTTCACCTCTGGATCCGCTATTGACAGCCATACGAATAATATCTGGCACTCGCTGACTGAAGAAACCATCAATGGTTCTGGACATGTTTATGTTTTCTCTTGCTGGTATAGATTCCTAAGACAGTGTACGCTCTTTGTCTGTTAAAAAAAATCTATTCCAATGACTCACCAATGCGGTAATAATGGGATTGAGATCCCCAATAAGCCTAACAGCAGCTCTGGCAACACCAGCATCTGTAGTATCGTTCTGACACACTGCGGTAAGGAAAAATCCTTGAATTGTCTCTATTTGGCTTTGCAGCGGTGTCATATTTCCAGAACTAAGCGTGAACAAATCACTAAAAGAAAAAACAATGCATCAATGTGGTCAGTGTGTTGTCTCAACAATCTACTTACTTTAATCTCAAATTCCTCATCACCAACATCATCAAATCAATAACAAGGTTTTCCCCCTGAACAATAGTCTCAGGGTGAATAGATTGCACCATAACTTCCATAGTGGGACCTCTTCCTGATAAAATATCTGGAAGACTCTAAAACAATAAAAAATCAAAATGACCAATCAGACTCTGACGAGCCAGATTCTGATTGGACTAATTTCAGATTCTTGCTGGAACCTCTTACTTGTTCCATTAAACTAGCGAAAAGATTGGTAATATTTGGTGGTGGTTGGTTTTGGCCGTCAGGGGTTCCTCTTGCAGGATGTGGTATATTATCTTGAGCAGGTCGATCGTTACTTAAATAATAATTCAGAAACAAATAGCATTCTTTAATTGAACTTTTTTTAGAATAAAATACTTTAAATTTTCAATATTTATGCTTACCCTGCCGGTGCTCCCTGTACGTTCACAGACATACGTGCTGCATTGACCATCTCGGCAATGTTAGGTGCTACCATCTCAGCAATGTTAGGTAAGTTTCTTCTTATGAGTTCCTCGAACCGGTTAGCAACCTCGATGGGTACTTCTTCAGGTCTTGAAGCTTGTGGGTTTGAATTATTATTTGGCTGATTAGTTGTTGAACCTACGTTCAGGTGTTGCCTTGCGAATAATGGCGATTGTGTTCTGGATGGTTGTTGTCCTCCAAATGTAACAAGCTAATAAGCAGAAAAATAACTCGATACATTTTAAATACAATTTGTCATTGACAGCTGAAGAAATTTAGAAATGCTAAGAACATGAAGGGTTGAAGAGTCTTTTGAATCTACAACTTTCAATGAAGAAAAACTAAAAAGTATGAGCAAAGAGTCCAGTCCAGGTCCAGATGAAATACCTAGGATAGTACTACAGAACTGTGGCGAATCCATTAGTTCTCGATTAGCTGGGGCTATGCAGGAGTGTTCAACACTTGGAAAAATTGCACAGCAATGGCAAAAATCGATAGTGACTCCACTACTTAAAAAGGGTGATCGAAGTCTAACACGCAATCCACTAAAATGTATGAAAAAGATAATTGTTAAAGAACCGACAGCGTTTTTCTTTGAAAAAATTCTCATACCACCCTCACAACACGGATTTCTCTCTAAACGTTCTACAAGAACAAATTTACTTGAATGTCTAAAAAACTGGACACACCACAAACATGATAATTCTCAACGCACAGATGTGATCTATCATCTATCCAAATATAAGAAGTCATTTGACAAAGTCCCACATAATCTACTTCCAGGAAAGTTGAGACACTTTGGAGTGAGATGTCAACTCATTGCAGTAATCGGGCTTACAGAGTATCTAATCCTAAGTTATTTTGGTCATACCACTGACCTCGGTCATACCTGAAGGGACTCAAGGATTCGCCAGATATTCTTCTCGCAACATACCAGGGTTCAATTTGCTCTGGAACGGCAGTGATCTTAATAAGTGTGATGGATGATGGATGCATTTTATTTATTAAAAATGAGATCTATATTTATTTATTTATTTATTTATTCATTTATTTATTGAAACAACTAATACAGGTTTTAACTTAAAAGAAAAACTAGGACTAGTTGGAGATTACTAAATATTACAGAACATATACATATAGGTGCTTCTAGCTGTATTATGTAATTTTGATGCTACTCATTTCCTAAAAACAGGTCTTTAGTTTTTCTTTTGAATTTGATAAGTGAGTCTCCAAATATGTCTAAAAGATTTTGATGTTCATTATAATTTAATAGCATTGTTCTTAGAGGGGCGCTGCCTTGGTAATTGGTTCTAAGGTAAGGTACATAAAAAGTTTTATTGCAAGTATGCAAGGGGACTTACAAGCCGATATGTTGCAGTGTAGTAGAGTCAAATACATGCCCGTTAAATATTTTGTACAGATATATTAAGCTAAAATATTTTCTCCTATTAAATAGGGACATCATGTTTAATTTTTTTAGGTTTAATGGATAATTGCTGACGTGAATTCTATGAAGCAATATATCTGAGAGCCGAACAAATCCTTTTTGAATGTTTTCTATTGCCTGTATGTATTTAGTATAAAATGGTGACCACACTACACTGCAATACTCCAGCTGTGACCTCACAAAGCTGTTGCATAATACAATTAATTATTCACAAAATTCTCTAGAGTTCCTTAGGAAAAACCCCAATTTTTTACATGAGGCACTTATAATATAGTTTTTCTATTTTGGTGTCATATCGAAGTCTTTTCGACACTAACCTTGCGTTCGGTATTTTGCTCAAAGAGCAGAGCGTGCTGAGCGGAGCCGTAATCACGTGATCAGTGAGCGAACAGAGCAGTTGAACGCTGAATAAAAGTGCCAGAAATTTCAATAAACGAACGCGAATGAGGCTGCACCGAGTACACTTTTTAAATAAACGAACGGTAAAGTCAAGCTCGGAGAACTCGGACCAAAATAACGAACGCACGGTAAAAGTAGTTTCGAAAAGAAGCTCTTTGTGACACTCCTTTTTTACTTATTGGAGGTTGGTGACACTGGCTGACTGATGGCCATCGAACTGTCATTCGCGATTTTATAATAGAAGATTTCTATATTTGGCATGTAATGTTACCAACCTAAATATATGAAATCGAAATATGAGAATAAAATTTCTAAGAAAAATTTGTTTTTTTTAATTAAACAATACCAAAATAGAAAAAATAGTATAAAATATTCGTTTCATAAGACATTTTATCGCGCTCGCCCTTTAGAAAACTCGCCTCCGGCTCGTTTTCTAATATAGGGCTCGTGCGATAAAATGACGTCTTATGAAACTTGTATTTTAATGTACTATTATGTGTTCACTAAACATAAGCCTTTTATCAAAGATTATTCCTAGATCTTTAGTAGTAGTTACCGATTCCAGTTCCTTGTTATTCATAGTGTATTTAAATTCAATGGATTTTTTAGAATATGAGTATGACATTTGTTTACATTTCTTTATATTGAAATGCAAGAGATTTTCCTTTGACCAATTATACAGTGTGATTTTTTAAGTGTGCAACATATGGGGATTTTTTTTAGTAATAGCACAACCCAAATACAAACAAGGCCAAAAGTTAGTGCATGTCTGATAATCATATTAGGTGCACTTAGAATGGTTGCAAGTCAAACAGCATACAGGGTAGCTCAAACAATATCAAAGCTGGTACTGTAAAGTACCCTTATTTTAGAAAATTCAACAAAATGTTATAGAGAAAAGTTGTTTAGAATTAAAAGTAATGCCTAAATACCAAAACATAGCCTCCTAAGATTTTTTTTATTTTTTTTCGAAAAAAATCTATAATTTCTATATTTTTTTTATTTTTTATTTCCGCCCTTGAGACTTTCAAAAATTAATTAAAATCAAATCAATTCTACATAACTTTGTTCAAATTCAAGCATATTTGTAAAATTAACTTAGATTTTTAATTTTTTATGGAATCACAAAATTCATGTTTGTTGCAATGATATTCAACATAACTTTAAAATGTCGCAATTTTTTTTTTAACAAGTTAAAAGATTACTTATGATAATAGCCATATTAAAAAAACTCTCCTTAAAGTGCAAAAGTTCTATTTTATTTAAGTAAATATTAGTAGAATTTTGATATTTTTTGAGCCACCCTGTATGCTGTTTGACTTGCAAACATTCTAAGTGCACCTAATATGATTATCAGACATGCACCAACTTTTGGCCTTGTTTGTATTTTGATTGTGCTATTACTAAAAAAAAATCCTATATGTTGCACACTTAAGTAATGACACTGTATATTATGTCTATTGTATTTTGCAGGGTCAGGCAGTCATTAATGCTTTTTATTTCTTTGAAGATCTTCATATCATCAGCAAACAAAAGAATTTTACAGGATTTTATGGTACTTGTGATATCATTTATAAATAAGAGAAATAAGAGAGGCCCCAAGGCGGAACCTTGTGGGACTCCCGAAGTGGCTGTGTAAGTGTTTGATTTGTAATTTTTTACAGATACAAATTGGTTTCTATTTGAAACATATGATCTGATCAGCTGACAAAGGTCTGATGAGATTGAGAAGGATGTAAGTTTTTGAACTAAAATGATGTGGTCCACTTTGTCAAATGCCTTAGCAAAATCTGTATAAATCGCATCAATTTAGCTACCATCAGCTAGGACTTCTGTGGAATATGTTACAAATTCAGCTTAGGGTTCGGAAAGTACATTTTTACACCATTTCAGTATGTGTCTTGGTATTTTGTCAGGACCAACTGATTTTTTATTTTTTTATTTAGATATAGCTTCCTCAACGTTTTGTACAGTTATAGTAGGAAGAGTAAGAGGAGATTCAAAATTTAGGGTATCGGTAAATTGGGTCCTTGTTGTATTTTGGGAAGGTTGATAGACAGATTCAAAATGTTGAGCGAAAGCATAAGCTATGTTGACACCCCCTATATACAGGGTGAGTTACTAAGCGCGCGGTGGTCCATAACTCCTATACTAACGGAGATCCGAGAAAAAACTAAATACAAAACTTGTAGATAAACATGAGTACTACATTCCTAAATTACTTTCCAGTATACAGGGTGGCCCAATAACTAGTAGTGACACAAAGTTATGTTTTTTTAAATAACTCCCCCTGTATATTGTGATATTTCTGGATTCTGCGGAAAATTCTAGACATATTTCATGTATAATGTCATATACCTATCTTCAACTGTTTCGGAAATATTGACAGTTGAGAATTGACTTTTTTGCATCTTTGACAGACTTTGAAACCTAAACGGTTGATTTTAGAGGAAAACGGATTTCACATTCCTATCTTAGATTTTCATAAGCTATCATTTGACACCAACTTTGAATTTAACTGAAGATTAATAATTTAGGCGGAATTTTTAATTATGGATTAAATTCGAGATTGGTACCAAATGATACTTTATAAAAAACTTAGATAAGAATGTAAAATCCGTTTTCTTGTAAAATCAACCGTTCAGGTTTTACAGTCTGTCAAAGATGCAAAACAGTCGGTTTTCAACTGTCAATATTTCCGAAAAAGTTGAAGATAGGTATATGACATTGTACATGAAATATGTCTAGAATTTTCCACAGAATCCAGAAATGTCATAATATACAGGAAAAGTCATTTAAAAAAACATAACTTTGTGTCACTACTAGTTATTGGGACACTCTGTATACTGAAAAATAATTTAGGAATGTACTAGCCATGTTTTGTATTTAGTTTTTTCTCCGATCTCCGTTAGTATAGAAAATATGGACCACCGCGCGCTTAGTAACTCACCCTGTATATGTCATTTTCCCGAATCATTTCACAAGCGAAGTCATTTGAATTTTTTTTCTTTGATTTCACAAAACTCCAATTTTTTTTGTATAATCTATGATTACGTTTTTTAGCTCGAATGTCCAATATGATTTCAGCATTAAACCATGGAGGATACTTTTTTTTTGTTTACATTTTTTGGAATAAATGTGTCAATGGTAGTATACAAATGTTCATAGAATTTGTCAACCGCTTGATCCACTTCAGTTACATTTTCTAAGCAATTCCAGTTGATGTGAAGAGTTGAATATAACCCGAAAAAGTTTGCTTTTTTGAAATTGTAGTAAAAGTTTTCATTTTGAGGGCACGTTTTAAAGCTATTGTTTATACTTAGTTCTATTTCAAGAGTTGGGTGAAAGGGATCCTCTTTATCTTT